AAAATTAATCAATTTTTATACCTTTCTAATCGATTATTACTCTGACGAGTCGATAAAGTTGGCTTCAAGGCAAACGCACGGAGATCAACATGAACTGCTCCTCCACGCAAATTTTTCTTAATAGCAACAGTTTCTTGAATTTTAGCAAATCAAAGTAGGATGTTATGTTCATTCTTGCCTGCAATTTTTTATAGAAAGCTGCAGCTGCTCTCAAAAACCGATATTCTCAGAACTATAACAGGTATCGTTTCTACAGGTTCAGTATTCCTAGACGCCATTTTAGGAAAAAATGCAATTAAGTTCTTAATAATAAAAATACATAAACTGCTAACAGTGATTTTGAATAGGAATGCCAACTGCAAAAGAATGACGCAAATTTTGTATTTAATTCATGTATACAATTAAGATAACAGTTTAATTTCCACTTAATTGTGCAGGAAAACACCGACTATGATGAAAAAACGACTTTGTGTACAGCAACTTTGTCTGACACTGATGGTTGGTTGGGGAATACCACATTTAACATTCTAAACAGTAATCCGTCTGCAACAACAGAATTGGTAAGATCTTTGCTGCTTCACTGAATAGATCACCAATTTCGATGGCTGTGAACAAAATGGCTTGATAATATGATTTCGAGTTTCAATTCATCAAAACGCCATTTTATCTCCACATTTATTAGAGTCCTTCGTTCAGTTTAAACCAGTATATTTTTGATCAAAAATATAYTATSATGATGACTGACTTGATARAKTGCACGTCAATTATCATTTTCTTAACAAAAACTAAAACTGAAAAATTCCAAGGGAAAATTAAAATAAAATAGTTTTCTGGCACATGCTCCCTGAACTCTCACGTGAAACSCTGACAACATTTTAAAAGGAAAGAATATTGAGTGACKATTTGGGATATATTTATGTCTTTATTCAACTCTTCSAGTTTGAAGGGTCGAATTTCTKAAATATTTKWTAWACGCCAAAATATAAAAATTTTATATTTAGTACACKRGWKWAAAAAAATATTGTTGCAGAAATTGCTGTGTAAAAGTAAAATGTTCCTCCATAAAAAATGAGCGCGATTTAAAATCCATGTGGAAGCATATTTCCAAAAAACACTCTTAATTGTCGCTGATTTACTGAATTTATTCCAAGTTATTCCAAGATAAATCTGTTTCCGAGTTTCAATCTATCTGATTCAACTCGGTAATGTAGCTTTGGGTAAATTATTTTTTTAGGAAAGAGAACACGATTTATTCGAATTTACTTTCAATAAAACCATAGGAGACACTGTGTTCAATACAACGGTATACTTGATCACAAGAGTGCAGCTGGATTATGAAAAAAATATATTTTACTCCTTCACTGTACAAGCTCAGGTAAGTTGTTCGAGACTAGAAACCCTAAGAAAATATATATTTTTTTAGTTTTAATTTAAACAGAGTTCCTGATTACATTTTTTGTTTCAATGGTCAACATACTATTTTTAGTTTTTCAAACAGAATTACTGTAAGCAAACAGCATTTAATACTTTTTCAAACTGAACAAATTTCTAAAACCAGTTTAAAAAATATGCTTACGAATTTAATTTTATCAAATACGCTCATTTTTATATACCTAAGATAACTCCAAAAGACATGAAAGAATGGCATGATTATACCCATTAATTATATCAAAGAATGAATTCAATAACACAAAAAAATAGAGGCAGCAATAAATAATAAGAAAACTATATCTCCCTACCATTTTAACTTCAAACCGAAGCATTCATCCACTATTTATCTTGACAAAAAACGCACATAAAATACGCCTAAACAAACTTAAATCTACAACTCTTTCAAGGCTTTCGATAGTGTATGGAATAGTCTTTCCAATTAAATAAAACAAATCCGCTTCTTGCACTAGTTGAGCAAGAAGCGGATAGTGGAAAATATGATAGGGATATTTCGTGATAAAGCTGCAGAAGATTGAACAAGATTTTAACTGATTTATTATTTTCAATGCAAACGTTCGTTTATTTACATAGTCAAAGATGTAATAAAATAACGAAACGTGTTTCAGGATGGCGCAGGTCACTCAACAATTCCAAATGCAAACGTTACTTGCATTGTGGATGTTGGGGATTTAAACGACATGCCTCCTGAATGGACATATTTTTTTACTACTAAACAAATAGTGGAGAAGACATCATATGTATGTACAATTCCGATCACCTAAGTGTTTTTTTTTATTTTATAACGACTTGTTCGAATGTTCTTTTAGTTTTCGCAGAAGTAAATTAATAGTTAAAAATCCACTACCAACTTTATTAGTAATTAAGATTTTAAAACTATCCAATTAAAAAAAAATCAAAATTTGCTTGTATTTATTTTTTCGAATTCTGGTGGTCAACTTGAATATAATTGGTTCCGAGTACAATGCTTTTCCGATATGAGCCCTGTTACCCAGTTCGTTGTTTATAACAATCTTTCACCCATTTTTAGAACTTTAATGTCACAGCAGTTGATGGAGACAGAGGAATAAACGCACCTATACACTATTCCATAATATCTTATGATGAAGATGTTTGCGAAGGTACTTTGTAGAATTATAATAATTAACATAATAGGAAATACAGGGCTTGCAACCCAAGACTTTTCTATGCGTTTTCTTCAGCTTCCAACGTTTAATCAAAGAAATGCTGGAGCCAAATCTGTATTTTCCATACCCGTAGTAATTACTTTCGCATGAATTCGTACATGTTACCTACAGATAGTAAAATATTGGCAAGTTGGTAATTGAAATGAAATGATGCCATAATATTTTTACAGGATGCTGTGTTACTCTTGAAACTGTAGATGGAAAAGCAGTATTAACTGTGAACCCAATTGATAGAGATGCAAAGGACTTATCAACGTATGCGTTTCGAATAATGGCCCAAGAAGAAGATGATCCACCTTACAATGTAACATTGGACATTACCTTTATCCTCGAAGACATAGACGATAACAGTCCATTGTTTAAGCAAGTTTACTTTTCGGATGGATCTTCCGTAACTCTGGCCGATGGGGTTACAAAAATTATTGAATTTTCTTTCCTGGAAAATTTTGCTGAAACGATCAATGGCACGATATGGATTCGGGATATTGATACGGTAAGCGGATTGTGTAATATTCCCTAGCACGTAATAAGTAAATTGAAAATATACGTCTTCAGAAAAATAAAAGGCCTGGAATTGGAAATATTATTAAGAGTTTATTGATATTTTCATTGAGGTATAACGTTTCATGTAATTTGTTATTTTATTAAACATTTTATGTATGTAAGTGAACTTTCAAAATAACGATTTTTTTTAAGTCGAAAATAATAAAGACTAGAATTTCGTCGGTACCATCCGAACAAGAAATTATGTAAGATTTAGATACGGTTTAGAGCTCGAAGCCGGTTCGGGGGTGCCTGAGGTTAGCGAACGTCGATATTTGCACTTACTTATTTGCACATCTTACGTAGAAAATATTTTTTCCTAAATAGGAAAATAGTGCTAGCGTAAAATTTGATGTTATAAAATTACGTCAGGCAAACCAGATTTTGTCATGAAATCAGAAATTAACAATTGCTTAGGTTTTTTCGCTAAATCTTTATAGACTTCTTCATACTGATTCAAGCACTTATGAGAGTTCGTTCAACATTAGTATCATATTGTAAGAAGTGATTGACCAATTTTCTTCCCAAATCAAGTCCTACCCTTATGTTTCTTGCTGCGAAGTCAACTGGTTCAGATTGCCCTTCATCAGAATCATTGCCTTCATCATGTTTGGTTGTTTCATTGATTATATTGAAAACACCGGAAATCTGCTATTGCTTTCACCGGTGTTGCCAAAGAAATGAAGATAAAGAACATTATAGAATCTTTGGTGCGTTACATAGAATTAGAATCAGTTTTTTGAAATTTCTTTGATTATGAGTGAACCGTGTTAAAGCGAAATCGTGTAAAACGAGTGCCGTGTAAATCGGGGGATAGGTGTATATTACTTTAAAGTCATTTTCTAACAGCAAAATTTACGCTAGCATTAGTAAAAAATCGTTATTTTGAGGAGTTACTTACATAAAAGGATTATATTAATAAAATAATAAAACTGACACACTTTCACGTCTCATGGCAAACTAAAATTTGAGACATCTTATCTGCCTTCGGAGTTACGCTGTGTTCAGTTGCGTAATATAATATTACGTATGTAAATATGCAACTAAAGAAAGCAAACCTACTATGTGTAT